TGTCTTCCACACAATCAAGGAACCTCCTGGATTGCTTGTGCCGGGCCGTACCGTCATTCCAACAGATGTCAGGGTGGTTGAAGTCCCCCATGAGAACGAGGACCTGTGAGCGTGAGGCTTTTCCTATCTGCCTATAGAGTGCTTCATCCACAGATTCCTCTTGATCAGGCGGTCTATAACAGATCCCCACAGTAATGTCTCCCATCGCTGTTTTCCCTTTAACCCTGACCCACAAGCTCTCTGTTAACTGCTCACCAGTCCCCAGACAGAGTTCCATACTCTCCAGCCTATCCCTAACATAAAGGACAACTCCCCCTCCGCGCCTGCCAGGCCTGTCTTTTCTAAAGAGTCTGTAACCTTCCATTCCAACACTCCAGTCATAGGAGCCATCCCACGACGTTTCTGTGATGCCTATAATATCATACCCCCATAGACGAGCACACATCTCTAATTCTTCTTGTTTGTTACCCATGCTACGGGCATTTGTATAGAGGCTTCTGAACCGAGCAACAAATGAAGCCAGCTCATTGGCTGGAGCAGCCAAAATATCTCTGCATTGCTCCGAGCATTTATTATAGGTGCTGGCAACTGACTGGGTGTGTTGGGATGGAATGATGCCCCCCTCCCCCAGCACAGGTAGTTTAAAGCCTCCTTGACCAGTCTGGCAAGCCTCCTACCAAAACTGTTTTTCCCCTTCGACCAGCTCCACCAGCCCCCGCTAGACCTGGCCTACAAACTTGGGTCCCATGTTCAAGACACCCAAACCCCTGACTGTGACACCACCCTTTTAACCATTTATTAACCTGGCTAATCCTCCTAGCTTTTTTTAGGTCCTCCCCTGTATCCTGAAGAATAGACGAAAAGACAACCTGAGCTCCAGAGCCCTTAACCACCTCTCCCAGGGCTCTGTAGTCCTTCTTTATGTTCCCCAGGCTACTACTATCTACATCCCTAGCACCCACATGTATCACTGGAAGTGGGTAATACTCCATGGGGCTTACCAGAGCAGGCAGTCTCTCTGCCACATCCCTGATCCGTGCCCCTGGTAGGCAACACACCTCCCTTGAGACCGGGTCAGGCCAACAGATGAGTGCTTCTGTCCCTTTCAAAGTAGAATCCCCTACTACTACGACCCGCCGCTTTTTCCTGGCAAGATTTCTGCAGGATCTTCAGCCAAACTTGGTCAACTTAGTACAACACCATTTTGCTGAGGGAAGCTTGCGCCAGCTTCTTCAAAAAATGTGCTACTTTACTGCTTTCAGGGAAGCAGTGGGTGCATCAGCATCTTACAGTCCCCACAGCTCCCACATACCAAATATTCTTAAGACACCTCATATGACCCTTCCAAAATACCCATGTCCTGCTCAAACAGATTAGAACCGAACAGTCTGAAGGCAGTTCACAAATGAACCATGTGATGATCAAGGAGAAAAGTACTGCAAGGTAGCTTAAGTGTGCAAATCACAAGAAATCAGAAGAAGGTTGACTTAGCAAGCCACAGGAGCATAAATGATCTTTCCCAACTCCAAAGGTAACAGAACGCATGACAGTCCTGTGCACTGCTAACCACCTAAAGGAAGGAAATTCTGGTAGTGTGTAAGAGCCACTTCTAAGGATGTCCTCTAAGAAAGAACCCTCTATAGTATTAATTGAAATGGTATCATATGTAACAATATATTGTATACTCTACCCTCTTTTGTCCTCACAGAATGCATACATTGTAGTTTCCACCTCTGTATCTTGTTTTGACAAAGGTAGTGAAATATCAATCTTATCTACTACCCTAACCTAACTGAGCTACTCTGATGGTTAAAACCAAAGGTGTAAACATCATCACCGTGTTTGCCTGATGGAGGGCTGGACATGGGGCAGCAGCAAAGATGGGTAGGGCATTTAAGTTGGGTATCTGGAGGTCATCCAGCTGCCTGCATCAACAAAAACTTGCCATCACTCATTGTATCATGGCTGCTCTTCTGTCACCAAAAAATGAATGATAAATAGATACTCAAAGTAGATGATTACTGAGTCTAATCATCTGTCCTTACAGAGCCATGCAAATTTAACCTGTCATTGAAACCAACAGGAGCTTTAAAAATATTTTCCAGCATGGACTGGATTATCAATACTTCTCATAAGCATCCCCTAAAGAAGTTGAAATTCCATTTAAGACTTTGATATTGGTAGCAGTAAAAGCAACTATTTAACATTCCACGAGAGATTGCATATCTGGTATCTTATTTATTTGAGAAAAACAACAACTTCCCAAATTTAAGCTCTTTATATTAACCGCTAAAGAATGCATTGGACATCAGCATGTAACACTCAGACTTGAACTCTGACAAGAAGTATCTCAAATGCTCCCACAATCACAGCTCCAATTCCTGTAATTTGCTGTAATTAGATGAAGCAACCCTTTCCTTGTAATGTAAACCAGTAAACCTAAGATGAGAGCAAATCTTTTAATGCTCCATCTCCAGTCACAGTAGCAGCTGGTTTACCACATGAGTACACTTGCTAGAAATAAACTAATCATCTAAAGCATCTCTGGCATCAGTCACTGCATCAATCTTCACAGAGGAAAACGTTAAACTGTTTACAGCAAGGAGCCAGTGGAGCTAACAAAATTCACTGCTAGGAATCAAACAGTATAGATAAATAATACAGAGGGTGTAACCTGCGAATAACTTAATAAAAAACACGACTGTCTTGAGGTGAGAATAATGCAGAAATGAGCACAGCTTGGTAACAGTAAAAATGTTATTACTGGGATAACGAAATTCAACATTAAAAGACAAAATATTTTCTGCAGAAAGATCCCAAAGTTTCTGAAAAAGGTGTAACAAAATTCATGGGTAACATTAAATACAATAGAAAGAAAAAAAGTGAAGAGGGTTTTTTTAGTCTTTATACAGCTATACTCAGGGGGGAAAAAAATGTAATTAAGAGCAACACTTAGCTAGCAATGAGGAAAGCATTCTTTCTCAATCAAAGCATGGCTCATTTAATCATAATCAGTGTGCTTGTGTCAAGCAAATGAATGAGTAATGGCTAAAAGACCTTACCAGCATTGCCGGAAACTACCAATTGCTACTTGGCCAAATGCAAAACACCTCTAGCTTTAAGTGAGGCAAAGTTTGTGGGAAAAGGTATTACCTTTGGTTAGAATAGCTGTGAAAATAAATAAACAAATAAATAAAAAACGACCAACTAAAAAAACAAACAAAAACCCCCAAACAAAAACAAACCCCTACAAAAATAAGTCCCCAGAAGTTGAGTCCAGTGAGATAATTTCAAGTAATGTTTAGAGAGAGCTGTTTGCAAGGGCCCAGATGAGGCTGTTAGCTGCTGATTGGAGGACAGTGCCCCATTATTGCCTATATTAACAGTGAGAAGCCTGAAGGAACTACTCATAAGGTTTACTGTACAATTGTTTCTACTGGGTATGTGATTTTTAATATCCAACACTTTCTTCTTTTTCTTCTTCTTTCCCCCTCCCCACCCAGCCCCCAGGCCTGTAAGGTTTTAAGATATAAAGAGAAACTAAATTTGCGTTGCTCTGGTTTTGTGTGGCACTACTGAGTAAGAGAGTCAAATGTGTTTGTGATTCTTTCCGACATGATCTCTTATCTCAGAAAGTTGTCACACTGCAGAAGGAACTGTGTTTGCAGGGCAACTTATTCACTGACAGTGGAAAAGCAACCCCAACTTTACCAGTATCTGTAAATAAAGTAAGATTAAATTACATTTATTTACACTACTGAAAAAGCTACATGACTACACAGATGAAGCCAACTATTCTGAGCTGGAAAAGCGAAAAATAAATAACCTTCAAAGGACTGGGAAAGGATAACTGCATGCTTATTGTGGATTACAGTTTCTCTCATGATCTATGAGAATTCTTTGAGGGAGAATAGCTTGCCAAATCACATCCAAGCCATAATGAATAAAACCAAACCAGGCAGATGTTAAAAAAGAAAAAACATAGTAGCTACAAAATAATAATTTCACAGATACAAACACACCATTTATTCCCCTATTTAATAAGATATTGCTTAGCTGATTCTTGTTTCGCCCATCATGAAGCAGTGTTTAATCAAAGCTCAATACTCCATAGTCAATATGCACAGATATTAGCATATGCTAATCAGTTACAATTGTTACAAAAGACACATAATCCAAGAAAACCAGGCAGAGAGGCAAATGCCAGCCTCAAGAATTGACTTCACCCATGGCCAGGGCTGTCCTTCACTTCACAGCCTGGCCACCCATAAACATGGCAGAGCAAAAGCTGCCATCTTCTTATTAGTAACAACTAAGAACAGTTTCCTCCATGAAAAAAGTGCCCTAAATTATCTCCGTATCTCCTGTATTATTTTCACTTCAAGTTGCAACAGCAAAAGTAAAGCGCAGCTCACAAGCAGCATGAACCAAGAGTAGGAAAGGCTCATCTTACAATTACTAAGAGAATCTACTGCTGCAAAACATTGAAAATTAATGACTCATCTCCTAGTTGTACTGCCATTTTTCTACTCTCTATCTTCCCACTACAGCGACTGAGTCCAGGTAAACGCAGGATCCGGGGCGCGGGTCCTGCCGGGGAAAGCCGGGGCGGGACCCATCAGGCGCGTCAGCCCTGAGCCGTACCTCAGTGGGGGGCCTGAACCGAGAGCTGAAGGCCCCAGGGCAGCCCGTAGCAGCACTAATGACCACAACCACCTGCAAAACCCACGCCACCGCTGCCGATGCCCCCGCAAGCCGACCGTAGCTGAAGCCTCCACCGCCTCTCAGAGAGGAGGGGCTACGAGTAAGGCGCGAATGAACGCGGCGGCCGTGCTGTGCGTAAGGCGTCACGTCGGGTCAATGGGAGAGCGGGACGTTGGACCAATGGGAGGGCCTGGCGGCCGGTTTGGAACGGTGGTGGAGGAGAGCCAACTGTCCGACTGAAGTCAGGGGGGTTCTGCTGCTTCCTGTACTGCCAGGCGGGGCGTGCCGGTCTGTGCTTACTGCTGAGGAGAGCCGGAGCTCTGCGGTGGGCACCGGGGCGGAGCCTGCTGCCGCCGCGGCGGTATCGCCTGCGCCCGGGGCTCGGGCAGCCGCGCCCGTGCGAGGGACGTGCCTGGCGTGGATGCGTTTTTCTGAGGAGGTACTGTGTGTCATCGGTGAGGGTCTGACCCCAGTGTTAGAGGAACCAGGGCCCACCGCCGGCCCCTTGGGGACACTCTTCACCCTTCACTACCCGTCGTGCCGCCCCAGTGAGAGCACTTAGAGCCCGCGGCCTGGACTGCTCCACGGTCACCGAGCGGTTTGCACGTCGGGTAATCGGCGTAATGGCAGTAGCCGTGCCGCAAGGAAGTGTTTTGAAAGTGGTCTTGTCTGTGCGGTTTTTAACGCTTGTGGGTGTCTAATGTGTGTATATGTGCAACTCAAAAACATCGCTACGAAATTCTTTGTTCTGAGGGTGGTGAGATCCTAGAACAGGCTGCCCAAGGCGGTTGTGGCTGCCCCATCCCTGGCAGTGTTCAAGGCCAGGCTGGACGCGGCTTGGAGCAACCTGGTCTAGTGGGAGGTGTCCCCGCCCGTGGCAGGCGGTTGGACCTGGATGATCTTGAGGTCCTTTCCAACCCAAACCATTCTATGAGCTTTACTCTTGTTTCTCTGTTCCTTTTCTTTTGGCACTGGGGAGCGTTGAGCATCACCACCTTCATGAGTTCTTCACCCTTCATATTTTTAAAGGAGAACATGGCTGAATACTTGAAAAAGCCTGTCAAAGACACTCTGGATGATATAAAAGAACGAATGAAAGAGAGGAGAAATCAGAAATGGATGAGGTTGGATAAAATTAGCCACATCTGCACCGTAAAAGGCAAAATAGCAAGTAAGATGCTTGATGTCTTAATAGTTCTCACAATTTTATTTTCTTTTTAAAAACTAAGTTGAAATATTTCCTCTTGTGTTGTAGCCAACAGCTCAAAGAAAATTAAGAGCCTTCAAGCAAACAACAAAGCCCTAGCTCAGGCTTTGCAAGAAGAAAAGCTGAAACTGAGGGATGCCCAGGATACCATCCTTCATTTAAAGACAGATTATCAAGATCTGAAGTTTCAGATGTTTAAATTGCAAAGAGATCTTAGGCTCAAGCAAGCACAACGACTTGAGGTATTTTTAATAATGACTTTGTGATTTAGTGAAGCTGAACATCAAAATCTGCACTAATTTAGTCAACTCGTAATGCTGATAAGTTCTTTCATTGGTAGTTGATACTGGAGTGCGACAATAACAGCGTTATTTTCCTTCTTTTGTTTGTTAGAATCAACTGCAAGCCTTGAATAAGATAATTTCAAGAGTTTCTCAGAATTTACAGGACTCAGTTGATCTCCTTGGCCCAGCAAAGAATCTGTGTTCCATAGGTGTAGTAAGTACCTTCCGCTCTAGAGGAGCAGGATTTCTGTTAATTCTTCCCCATTATTACTTCCAACATAGATGCTCATAAGTTTTGAGATTTAAGCCTAGTCTGGAGGCACAGTTGCTTCCACAGCTCCCAGTATGACACGTGGTCCACAATGCGAGTTTATGCAGATGTTAGTGAGACTGAGGCTCTGCTACACGGTAGATGGGGCACCCTGTTTTTCTATGGGTTTATGTCTTGTTCCCTGTACTATCCTTACAGTTCTTTCCTCTGTCCACTGTCTGTATGATTAGGCTGGTGATGAATGCGTTGACTTGCAGGAGCTGAGTATGGGAGATCCCACAGTACTTTGTGTTTACACAGCCAGAAGGAGAAGCAGACAAGGGCCTCTTTGGCCCTTCTGTGGGTAACCTGGCTGTTGTCTAAAACTTGTGTATCATGCAGGCTTTTTTCATCTCTTTGGTCACATTAAGATTTGTTTTGTTGACAGAATGGGAAGGTGCTTTCTTCAGTTCTGGAAAACGGTTCCAGTGTCGCAGGGCCGGTACATTCAGTGTATGTATCTTGTATCAGTAAGCTTAATTTTCCGACTAGAAAAAAAGGGAAGAAATCCAATGCAACGAAGTAGTTGTGTTGTGATAAAATACATTGCTATTTGGTAAATGCTACCTTTTGGTATTTCCTCTAGAAAACATCTACAGTGTGCTGATGGGGATGATCAAGTACTTCCAAGTGGGATGGAGGCTGATAGCCATAAAAATGAGCTCACTCCCTCTGTGTCAGAGACCTGTGAGGAATCTGACAACGCCGTTTCCTCAAACAAAATAGTTCCAGACAAAGGTAACTATATCAAAGCACCAGACGCTGCTGTATTTTGAATCAGGGGAAAAAAAAATGTGTAAGTTTAAAAAGTAATTAATGCTTTTGAAGTAACTGTCAAGTATTTGTCCACTTGTCCACTTCTTATCATAAAGGTTAGATATTCATGTTGGCAAGTTTTTGAAAGAAGATGCCTAGTAAAATGGGGGCGGGGAGAATTGAAAATGTTTTGTTTTCTATATACCTGCAATATAGTTTCATTATCTACCAAACAGCTCAACAGAGTAAAGTCGTCTTTAATCATTTAGTGTCATTTATGAAATCAACAACTGTTAACAAAGCAAAACACTCAGAAAATAAATGACCCATAGATAACCTTTCCAAATGGACCAGTTCAGAGGAAAATCCTAACGTAGTATACTTAACTGCTTCCTGTCTGGAAGCTGTATTAAACAGAACTTACCTTGATTGGTTTGTATGTATCTACGGGGAAAATTCTAAGAACTGTCTTAATTTCTGACATGTTCAGAACTTGCACAAAACCTTAACAGGTTGCTACTATTTAGCTTTAATATCACTCTTTCCCTTCAATTGCAAGGACGAGCGTCTGATTTTCATCTGGATGTCATAGAGTCAGAGCTGGAAAATATTTCTTCAAGCAGAGAGGATGGACTTGGTAACCTCTTACCAAAAAACGGGTCTACTAGGAATTGCTCCGTGAAGTCAAAAAATTACAACAAACATTATACTGGTGTATTGAACCATTCAGAAGCACCTGCTTCAACAAGAAAGCTTTCTGAACTGGACAAAGTTAGACTTGAGGAAAGTCTACAGATGTGTACTATAGAAACCAGAAATCTAGGTATTTCTCAGTTGAATGAAAATGAGGTAGGTTCAGAGCCGGTGTTGAGGAAGTCAGATTCTGAAACCACAGAGTCCCACTTAAACAATAATTCTGATCTTAAACGACATGAGTCTAAAAACAGAGAAGACTCTCAAGTTAGGAAAGGGAAGCATGAGAAGGCAAAACTGGAAAAACCTAAAACTTCCAGACAAACACCGAAACAAAGACAGGCAAAAGGGGCGTCCAAGAAAAAGTTGGATTTCTTGGGTCGCTTCAGTGATGCGTACGACTTTCATTTGGAAGAGAGTGTCCATCTTACACCTTTTCGACAGAATAAGGTGAATGACACCGATAGTGGTGTGGATGACAAAAATGACTTATCTGAAACCAATACCATCGAGTCAGATGATATTGAAGAAGATTCAGATGACAGCCTCTATGAGCCTTACAAGGGTAAATCAAAAAGAAGGAGAAGTGCAGTGGACAACATAGGTAGATTACCAGTCCGTGCAAGGCCAAGGTCTAAAAGATGTTTGGCACAGCGTGAGCAGAAACTCCATGATGAAAAAGAGACCTACTGATTGATCGTGGCCCCCCCACCTCCATTCCAAGTATAAAAAGTGTTCTGTAATTGGTTTTGTTTTCTTAGAGATAACATTCTTGGAAAGAGATTTAGACTTTTTTTTATTTTAGGGTTGTTTGTTTTGTTTTTTTTAATAAATACTAACAGATTAAATGCTACAGAAAACATCAGATCAATTATTTAGCTTTTTTTTCCCCTCGGCAGATTGGAATCAAAGACATGTCTTGTATAAGCAATTGGTCAACAATAAATCAATACTGGATTTTAGATGTGCTTAATGATGTAGTAAAGCTGAGGACAAAAGAGGGGAGAACAAAGTATAAAATGACGTAAGTGGAACAACCAATCACACTTTGCTGGGCACTGCCTAGTGTCAACTTGTTTTTCCAAACTAAAATCCTGCGCTTGTTGATCCTCTTACGTATTGTTAAGTAGTACAACGTGAAGATAATAGCTACAGCTGAAAGTTACTTCACATCTAGTGTTCACTGATGTTCTCTTTTAAGCTAGCTTGCCTGAATTGTTGTAAGTGTGCCTAATTTCATCCCAGGGCAGCCTTCAGAGCCATCTCATGGTCATCTTTGCAATGTTACCAATACTGCTTCATTGCTCACCAGCACTGGGAATGCAGCTGTTGTCCCAGAAGGTGAAGGACCACGATCTCCAAAACGCAAGCGAAGCTGTGCTATTACTGTGTGCTATAAAGAACCAAGTATTGCAGGGTAGGTGTCTTACTTTCCAGTTTGATATAAAGTTCATCATATTCTATCAAATGGAGGATTTGAGGGGGTAGCTTAAATATTAGAAAGAATTTCTTAAGAAAGCATTCAAGGAGAGGTCTGATGTTAGTAAGATGAAATAGTTCACATGTGTTAATTGATGTTCGGAGTGAAACTCAATTTTTTTGTTTTTTATTTTTTTTTTTTTTTTTTAGGAAACTCAGAAGAGGGGATCCATTCACAGACACAAATTTCCTGAATTCTCCAGTTTTCAAGCAGAAAAATAATGCCAAGTGCCCTTCTCTTAGGAAAACATCTCTGTCAAAATACAGTGAGAAATTTGTTGGCCGTCGTTGGTATTTCCAGTCACAACAGCAAAACCATGCTGGTTCCATGAAGAAAGGAAATATCCAGGAAATTATTGTTGCACAAGATTTTGCATAAATATGCCGTTATTTCTATGTGTCTTAATGCTAAGGATGTAAAATTAAGAGCAGCTGGTTTCAATCCAGTGACTTTTTCATGATCTAGAAGGCACAAGGCTACCTGTGTAACTAAGGTGATTCCATTCAAACCCTTTTGTGAGAAGGCATTTTGTAATGTAAATTTGTAAGTTATGTTACAGTTTTGTAACTTATAGCCTGCTTGTTTGGACACTTAAGATCACATGGTTTAGTGTTTTGGGTTTTTGTTGTTTGGTGGTGGTTGTTGTTGTGGACTTTTTTGCATGTGTTTATAACCATATTTGTACAGCTCTTCCTGTAATTGGTTGTAAAGGTTGTAGCTTCATCTTGAAAGTTTCTAATAAATGTTTTGGTCATTGTAAACACATCTGTGATGGCTGGTGTTCTAGGAATTTCTGTATTTGCTTCAAATATAGCAATGTATAGCACAGGAGTGCAGCAAACTCGTGTGCTCCTTCCCCATCTTCTGTGCCATAAGCTTTGTCAGTTGAAATCCGATTACGTAGCTGGAGCTCTCTCAAGTAGCAATTTTTAGGGTTGCTTGGTACTGCTGTTTAGAAGAGTTACTAACTTTGTCCCTGTGTGGTCACCGGTGAAGGTCGTGAACAGTGGTCTACTTTGGTTGACTGTAAATTGGTTTTATGGGACTTCATAATAAAAGCTTCAGCTACAGAGTGTTTGAAACATACTTGTTCACAATTAGATGTTGGAACTGAAACTCAACCTTCCATTTGTATCCTAAAATTCTATGTCTGGGTGTTACTATACTTCTTAGTACTACAGGAACTTGGGCAGATTCATTTAAGTTTAGGTGCTCTTTACTTTCAGCAACTGAATTTGTAACAGCTACTTATGAGGGACAGAAAAACAAACAAGGTGACAGCAGAGCAGCCTCACCCGGTGGTGAAGTGCATCTGGCTTGGGGGGTTTGTTTTTGCATTAAGTTTGAAGAATTGCAGTTCCATTGCAGCTGCAGGACGAAGTCTTGAATAGTCTGAACTGCTTCTCAGAAGGCTCCAGAAAAATGTCTAAGCCTCTTTAGACCACTGTTTGCTACCCTCTGAACAGTGTACACTTTCACATGATGTGGCACAGGACTAAATCTTAGTGGATGGGGAGGAAATACATCTTCATACTGTCTAATTGTCTGTTAGGTATTAGACACTTGCAGGTTTGTTTAGCATATGCAAAAGAAGTGTACCATCTGAGTAACATGGTGAACGTGGGTAAGTACTCTTCATAGCCTGCAGTGTCCCCTGTAAACTGGTTTGTGACTAAAGGAAGGACTTTAGTAGGCAAACATGAGAAAACAGCAAGAGCACACTTTGAGGTTAAAAATCAAGTCCTGAACAGCTCAAAGAGTTGTTCGAGACATTAAGGAGATGGGAGGAACAACACCTCGCTCAGTTAGCAGAGAGATAGGAATGGTAGCTGGAATAGCCACAGCTCTCCATGCTGAAGCCTCAGCTCTGCTTAACGCTGTGTATAGTTGTACTGGCACAACTAAGTAATGAAAAAAGACCAAAATAAGTAGGGGTTTGTACATATATAATTTAAAACTATTCTGTACCAGTACAATATATTAATTTTACAAATGTAAAGTTCATCAGCTGTTAAAGCATTTGCAAAACCACATATCCTAATGTAACTTTATTGCACAGTATCTATGAAAATATTAATTCTTAAATTAGAAAACAAATGTTTCAATATAGAAGAGACAATCTGATTGAAAGACAATAAGAAAATCTAGTCTGAAAATAACAAAAGTTCACAGGATGCTAACCTTAATAGGTGCATCTGTAGGCCCAATCTACAAAACAGGATTACAGCTTCCAGTACTGGCTATTAAAAGAAAAACAATGCTCACTGTACCTTTATTACAGATCCAATTGTGGGTCAGACTAATCTCATAAAAACTCTATGGTAAATCTAGTGTTAACATTCTGAATACTTGTGTACCACATTTACTACTTCCAGGTTGTTCCTGACATCTATTCGCAGAATCGAGTTGTGATTTAACATTGCACAGGCATTTTGCAGGAATATATTCTTTGACACGGCGTAGGATTGGGTTTTATTCAGTCTTACAGCTATTGAATTTTATCAGTGTAACATCTGTAAATATAAAACAGCAAGAACAAAAGTTGGATCTGTTTTTCACAAAAGCAATTATAATTTACAGTTACAAACTCTAATTAGAAAATGTCAAGTGACAGCTTTTTGGCCTGTACTGACCTCCATTAGGAAGTTAGGTGTACCTCTTGAATATGGTGTAAGCAGCAAAGTATATATGTAAGTGCTTATTTTGAAGATATACTAACATGAGTTGTAAAATGTCAATATATTCCTGGGTCTAACTAATCACTTTAACAAGCATTTACAATACAGCTTGGTAGAAAACCCAGTTTACCACAGAGCCAAGTATATGAGCTAGAAGCTGTCATATGCTGGCTTCTTTTAATAGTCTTATCTCTGCTAAATAACCCAAAGAATTTATCAGTGAAGAGTAGTAAATAGGGTGGGTCATGAAGTGCAGCAATACCTTAACTCCACTAAGGCAACTGACATTGACTAGCATAGGTGAATCAGATTCTCTGAAGTTCATTTGGATACTTATGTCCTGCATAAGCCAAGTCACTATGACATTACACACCTAGACAGGCTGGTTTTTTTGGTTTTGTTGTTGTTGTTGTTGTTGTTAATAGTGGTTATGAGATTACAATTTACAGGTAAAATATTTCTCAAAACCACTCTGGCAGCTGGTTTAGTACAGGTGAACGCAGGATCCTGGGCGCGGGTCCTGCCGGGGAAAGCCGGGGCGGGACCCATCAGGCGCGTCAGCCCTGAGCCGTACCTCAGTGGGGGGCCTGAACCGAGAGCTGAAGGCCCCAGGGCAGCCCGTAGCAGCACTAATGACCACAACCACCTGCAAAACCCACCCACCGCTGCCGCCACAAGCCGGCCGCAGCTGAGGCCTCCACCGCCTCTCAGAGAGGCGGGGTTACGAGTAAGGCGCGGATGAACGCGGCGGCCGTGCTGTGCGTAATGCGTCACGTCGGGCCAATGCGAGGGCGGGACGTCGGACCAATGGGAGAGCGGGACGTTGGACCAATGGGAGGGCCTGGCGGCCGGTTTGGAACGGTGGTGGAGGAGAGCCAACTGTCCGACTGAAGTCAGGGGGGTTCTGCTGCTTCCTGTACTGCCAGGCGGGGCGTGCCGGTCTGTGCTTACTGCTGAGGAGAGCCGGAGCTCTGCGGTGGGCACCGGGGCGGAGCCTGCTGCCGCCGCGGCGGTATCGCCTGCGCCCGGGGCTCGGGCAGCCGCGCCCGTGCGAGGGACGTGCCTGGCGTGGATGCGTTTTTCTGAGGAGGTACTGTGTGTCATCGGTGAGGGTCTGCCCCCAGTGTTAGAGGAACCAGGGCCCACCGCCGGCCCCTTGGGGACACTCTTCACCCTTCACTACCCGTCGTGCCGCCCCAGTGAGAGCGTTTAGAGCCCGCGGCCTGGACTGCTCCACGGTCACCGAGCGGTTTGCACGTCGGGTAATCGGCGTAATGGCAGTAGCCGTGCCGCAAGGAAGTGTTTTGAAAGTGGTCTTGTCTGTGCGGTTTTTAACGCTTGTGGGTGTCTAATGTGTGTATATGTGCAACTCAAAAACATCGCTACGAAATTCTTTGTTCTGAGGGTGGTGAGATCCTAGAACAGGCTGCCCAAGGCGGTTGTGGCTGCCCCATCCCTGGCAGTGTTCAAGGCCAGGCTGGACGCGGCTTGGAGCAACCCGGTCTAGTGGGAGGTGTCCCCGCCCGTGGCAGGCGGTTGGACCTGGATGATCTTGAGGTCCTTTCCAACCCAAACCATTCTATGAGCTTTACTCTTGTTTCTCTGTTCCTTTTCTTTTGGCACTGGGGAGCGTTGAGCATCACCACCTTCATGAGTTCTTCACCCTTCATATTTTTAAAGGAGAACATGGCTGAATACTTGAAAAAGCCTGTCAAAGATGCTCTGGATGATATAAAAGAACGAATGAAAGAGAGGAGAAATCAGAAATGGATGAGGTTGGATAAAATTAGCCACATCTGCACCGTAAAAGGCAAAATAGCAAGTAAGATGCTTGATGTCTTAATAGTTCTCACAATTTTATTTTCTTTTTAAAAACTAAGTTGAAATATTTCCTCTTGTGTTGTAGCCAACAGCTCAAAGAAAATTAAGAGCCTTCAAGCAAACAACAAAGCCCTAGCTCAGGCTTTGCAAGAAGAAAAGCTGAAACTGAGGGATGCCCAGGATACCATCCTTCATTTAAAGACAGATTATCAAGATCTGAAGTTTCAGATGTTTAAATTGCAAAGAGATCTTAGGCTCAAGCAAGCACAACGACTTGAGGTATTTTTAATAATGACTTTGTGATTTAGTGAAGCTGAACATCAAAATCTGCACTAATTTAGTCAACTCGTAATGCTGATAAGTTCTTTCATTGGTAGTTGATACTGGAGTGCGACAATAACAGCGTTATTTTCCTTCTTTTGTTTGTTAGAATCAACTGCAAGCCTTGAATAAGATAATTTCAAGAGTTTCTCAGAATTTACAGGACTCAGTTGATCTCCTTGGCCCAGCAAAGAATCTGTGTTCCATAGGTGTAGTAAGTACCTTCCGCTCTAGAGGGGCAGGATTTCTGTTAATTCTTCCCCATTATTACTTCCAACATAGATGCTCATAAGTTTTGAGATTTAAGCCTAGTCTGGAGGCACAGTTGCTTCCACAGCTCCCAGTATGACACGTGGTCCACAATGCGAGTTTATGCAGATGTTAGTGAGACTGAGGCTCTGCTACACGGTAGATGGGGCACCCTGTTTTTCTATGGGTTTATGTCTTGTTCCCTGTACTATCCTTACAGTTCTTTCCTCTGTCCACTGTCTGTATGATTAGGCTGGTGATGAATGCGTTGACTTGCAGGAGCTGAGTATGGGAGATCCCACAGTACTTTGTGTTTACACAGCCAGAAGGAGAAGCAGACAAGGGCCTCTTTGGCCCTTCTGTGGGTAACCTGGCTGTTGTCTAAAACTTGTGTATCATGCAGGCTTTTTTCATCTCTTTGGTCACATTAAGATTTGTTTTGTTGACAGAATGGGAAGGTGCTTTCTTCAGTTCTGGAAAACGGTTCCAGTGTCGCAGGGCCGGTACATTCAGTGTATGTATCTTGTATCAGTAAGCTTAATTTTCCGAC